AGATTTGTTACCTCATAATCTTCCAACTATGCTAGTTTTCTCTTTTTGCGTTGAGCTCATGAACTAGTTCCTGATTCCAGTTCTAGTGTTGTTGGGAGACTTCCTCCAGTACTAAGTTCTATTTTTGTAGACAGACTTCCCTCATTTCCCTTTTTTAAAGCCTGGAGGTCTGTTGAAGTTAGACTTCCATTCTGTTACGTCTGACCTTTTGAGTTTTGCTTAGTCAAATCCTCTCCATTTTCGAAATCTTTAGGAATCGATCGCCTAGATTTTTCTATTCAAGACCAAGTGCTTGCTTCATCAAACACTACATCATGACTAATGATGACCTTTTTGGTTATAGGATTGTATAATTTGTAAGCTTTGGACTTATCACTAACACCAAGAAAAATACATTTTTTCCCTTTGTTATCAAGCGTACTCCATTTCTGATCTGGCACATGAGCATATGCTATGCACCAAAAAATTATGAAGTAGTCAACAGTAGGTCTGCATCCATTCCAACCCTTTTTTGGCATCATATCTGGAAGTGGAGATATGGGACTTTTATTCAAGATATGAACACCCCAATTAATAGCTTCTAGCCAAAACTCCTTAGGCAAGCCACTCTTTGACAACAGATTTCACACCATATTCATGATTGTGCGATTCCTCCTCTCATGTACACCATTTTGCTAGGGTGTATATGCTACTGTGAGTTGCCTTTTAATACCTATGAGTTAAACTCACCATCACGGTTTATGCGTAGAACCTTTATAGATATACTAGCCTCATTCTCAGCCAAGACTTTGAAATTTTTAAAGGCTACTAAGGCTTTTGACTTGTTCTACAAAAAATACACCCATGTTTTGCAACTATAATCATCAACAACAGTAATAAAGTATTGTTTACCTTTATTGGATGTTGGATTTATGGGTCCACAAAGATAATAATGAACCAGATCTAACACCAGCTTTGCTTTCCAAGATCTGTCTTTAGGAAAGCTGTCATGGTGTCGTTTGCCGACCATGCAGATTTCACAAATTTCTGAAGGAGAATCAAAATGAGGAAAACCATTTACCATCTTCTTCTGCTAAAAGCCTCTCAACCCACCAAAATAAAGATGACCATATCAACAATGCCACAACCAAGCTATGTCCTTCAATCTGGTAGAAAAACATGACAAATTTGTGGTCTACAGGTACAATAGAAACAACCTATTTCTAATCATCTTGACCTTTGTAATTAAGCCAAGCTTTAAATCACAAACTTGGCAAACTCCATCTTTAATCAAGATTTCATATCCTTTCTCTTCAAGTTGTCCCAAACTAAGTAGATTTGACTTTAAATCTGGTACATACAGAACATTAGCAATAGTTTGAATTGAATTGTCTTTGGCATGAATGGTTACTTTTCCCCTTCCCTTGACTACAATAGTAGAATTATCACCAAATTTCACCTTGTCTTGAAAAGGCTCATCTAGATTTGAAAACATAGATTTGTCTCCACAGATGTGGTTGCTACAGCCAATATCCAGATACCACACATCCTTCTTGTTGACCTCTTTAGGATGACAAACCATGAATAGAGAGGCATCATCATTTTTTTCATTGTGTCATGTAAAATTAGAACTTTCTCCTATATTTAGATTAGCATGGCACTTAGAATGATAATGACCATACTTATGACACCGAAAACACTCATAATTTGCCTTGTTTGCAGACTTAGATTTGTTATCTATAGCTTCATAATTTCTATTATGCCCTCTTTTGATTTCCAATGGCTAAATTCCTTTGATCTATCAGATCTTGATCTACTTTTTCAGTTTTCTTTTCCTTGACTTATAGCCCTTGAATTAACTATGGTCTGCAAATCTTGCATATATGAAATCTGCACTACTTACTCTTGCTTGTCTTGGCAATTTATCTTTGGCTCATGAACTAACAATGAGTTTTGCAACTCATCAAGGGAAAGTGCCTTAATATCATTTGACTCCTCAATTGAACAGACAACATAATTGACTTTTGTTGTCATGGATCGAAGGATTTTCTCAACTATGGCAACATCCGCTAGATTTTCACCATGGATCCTTATCTTGTTTGCAATTGCCATCGTACTTGAAAAATAGTCATCTACAGATTCACCAATCTACCACTTCGCTCTTTCATTCCCTTGGTACTTCTTCTTCATGGAATCCCAAATAATCTTGGAAGTAGACTTGTTAAGGATTGTTTCCAAGATAGCCTGATCAATGGCTTGGAACAAATAGTTCTTAGCCTTGAGATCTTTTAACTTTTCCTTCTCAATTTTTGCCTCTGTGCATCATCTGCACTTGCCGCTGGTGTTGGAACTCCAGCTTCAATAACTATCCAATACTCTTTGGACCTAAGAAATCTCTCCATCAACATACTCCAATGGCCCTAGTGATGACCATTAAAATGAGAAATTGAGGGCTGGACATAATTTTCGAAAGCCATGGAATCTGCCAGGAATTTGCTCTGATACCAAATGTTAAGAAACCAAGGATTCCAAAAAAGAAAATGGAATGAAAATCAAACTCACGTTAAAATGAAAACAAACTAGCATTTAAATAGGTTTTACAAGATAACTTTATCTAAAAAGATAACTAACCAATAATTCCAACTTATCTAATCTATTTTAAATGATAACAAATTGAATAATAGGAAAAACAAGTAAACAACTTAAACTTCTTAAATTATAGAGATAATAGCTAAAAACTAGGATCTATTTTCCAACAATTCTTGCTTTCTTCGTTCTAGATAATAAAACCAAACAAATAGTTTTTAACATTTCAATTAAAGCTAGCCATGTGCTAAACCATAAATAAAAAATTACTCCATAAATTAATGTAAACTGACTATATATGGAAATACCTTTGGTTTCAATTGGTTTCCCAAAATAAAAATAATATCTTCCAGGAAACCTTGGTGCCAGTCATGGTTGGTAAAGTTTTTGGTTTGACACCTTGCCATCTCCTCCATTCCTATCATTTCAAGATCACAGAAAGCTCAACAAATGGACTTTGATTGCATTTTTTGTAATTTAAGACTCGATCAGAATACATACCTCAATACCACGGCCTCTTCTGTCAAATCTTCTATAAAATCCCTAAAGTAAAGAATCCTCATTGGATCATTATAATAAAAAATTACTTCAGCAAAATCATCTGCTCCAACAACACCAAATGGTACTATTTTGGCTCCAAATCTAGCAGCCATCCTCACAAACTCTCGGACTTTTTCTGGCCAAAATAACTTGTATGTTTCACCTGGAAAAATTAATTAATCAATATGCCTAGCTACCTAGAGTTGAGTTATCACAGCTGCACAATACTATAGCTAAATATTCAATATGTTAGCTTCCTGAGAAGAGCCTCGCCCACCCCTCCAGGGAACAACAGGCTATGAGATTTTGAAGACATAAGCTTGTAGAAATTTGTTCCTGAAAGAGGAACTGCCCCCATTAATCGTATTGAGTTCAAAGGTTGATACATCAGGTAATTAACCTGCCTTCTCTCAATCTTTCAAACAACGTTGGATGTGCCATCCCACGCAAGAGGATATTTCTCTGAGTAAGAAATTCAGACACCAAGGGAATAACTTCTAGTCCCAGTAACATGTGATAACCAACGTACAGGATGGGTCCCTCCAATGGAACCCCAGTAAGACCTTTCACCACCTTCCCATCCTCGGTAGTTGAGAGCATCACCGGGCTAAGAGCAGCATTTAACCATCTATCTAGGAACAAAGTCAGTTGAGAAATCCAGAATCAAGACTTATATGTGGCGGCACTGGAATTCAATTGAACAGATATAAAATTCCTATGATGAGCACAATAAGTGTCAGGTTTGACTGTCATCAATATTGATTACTTCAATTAGTCAAGTAATTGAATAAAGGTCCGCTTTTATTTTTTAATGAGAATTAATATAAAAAATGTGTACTTAAACATGCGCCCTGCAAGTTAAAAAAAAATAAAATTTGAAATCTATGTGCAAAAACGGAGATATGAAATATAAATGATGATATACTTCTATTTGATCAAATTTAAAATAAATACTGTATTGGCTAAGCTCTTGTTAGTAGAAATTATAGTATCTCATGTATATACATGGTTGTGCTATTGTTAGGCCAAGGTCACATAGTAAAATTAAGGAGATGAACTACACTATAATACCTATTATTCTCATAACACAAGTTCAAAAGTGTTCATTTATCATCCTTTAATGAATAAAATTACAATTATCCCAATTTGTTTAGTAAGGTTTGATGTTTTAAAAAGACTAATGAAGATGTAATTTCTTATAAATTTTCTAGTCTCAACATAAATAGTTGGCTTTTAACTAGACCAGAGAAGAGTTAATCTCAAAGTACGTAAAAATTGATTTGAAAACATTTTGACTGCTAAAACTACAAAAAACAAAAAAAAGAAAGCCATGACTATGCCTCTCTACCCCCTTAGGTAAAGGTTTAATTTACTTATTTCATTAGTTAATGGGACAAATTAAGATCTATATCTACTTTTCTTTTCTCATGTTTTTCAAAAATATAATTAACTATTTAAATAGTTTAGTAATAATCTCTTTTTACTTATTTTATCAGTTAATGGGGCAAATTAATTTACCTTTTGCATTTAAAATTGCAATTTTCCTTTTGAAAAATACTACTTAAATGCAAAAAGGCAGAGGTTATTGTATGTAAATTACAAATGCCTTTTTCTTTTTTTTTTGGTACATATTTAAATGCCTTCTGAATGCGTACTACAAATGCATTTTGGACTTTGAATGTGTACTTCAAATGCCTTTTGGTCTATTTAAGTGCAAAAGGTAATTGTATTTACATATTCATTTACGACAATTGTCGCAAATCCATTTGCCACGCATATCCACTTACGACAAATTTAACCCAGGGTTATTTCACTCAACCCGGGTTATTTGGACAACAGAAATGGATCGAATTGCCTCAACTATAAATAACCCATCCCTTCTCTCCTCCTGCTCCTCCTCCTGCTCCTCCTCCTCGCCTATCTCAACTTTCCAACATGACAGACCTCTCAAGGAACAACCTGCCTTCTCGTGCAAAACCCGCCAGGCGTGCAGCAGCTCCATCCATCACCTCATCTTCGCGATTTCCTTGTCCCCACTGCTGCCGGCTGTTTGATTCCCCTCAAGCGCTCGGCGGGCATCAGAAAGCTCACAAACACGAGCGAGCAGCTCAGCGAACCTTTCCGGCCACTCATCAGCAGCAATACCATGCAGCCGTGTTTTATAACGTGTGGCCGGAACACATCCGGCGGCCCATCATCTCATCTCCGCGATTTCCTTGTCCCCACTGCTCCAGGCTCTTTGACTCCCCTCAAGCGCTCGGCGGGCAGCAGAACGCTCACAAACATGAGCAAGCAGCTCAGCGAAACTCTCTGGCCACCCACCAGCAACAATACCATCCACTTGCTCTGTTCTCCGCTGATCAACATCAACAACACACCTTATCGATACCATTTCCCCACTCCCCGGCCGTTTCGACTACTCCCGACACTCTCTCCCCTACCACGGATGTGGATGATTCTTCTGCCGATATTGACCTCGCCCTCCGCCTGTGAAGCAACGCGTTTCTCTTTCTCTTAACTTCTTTCTTTTTTGTTTTTGAAAGGAAGTGGAATAAGTTAGTGGGATTTGATGAGAATGAAAGTGGTTAGGGTTAAAGGGATTCTTGAATCTCTTGTTTAGCGTTCGTTTCCGTACGTTTATGGGGTTTCAACTTTTTTTTTTTTTTTTTCCTCATCTTACTCAAATTAAAGTGCAAGGTGATGGTGATGATGATGATGAATGTTAGTTCCCTTAGCTTTGTTCTTATATATGAAATTAGTAATTAAGTAGAATTGTATGATATATAGATTCGATCGATCTTGATTATCTATTATCTTCTTTCTCGATCCGTTGCATTTGAAATCTGCAGATTCCAACTTCTCTCTTGATTTCCATTTTTCTTTCTTCTTTGTTGAAGGAATGAAATAATTAAAATAAAAAATCATGAGTAGTTTTTGACAGTTTTATTAATCAAATGGGTTTTTGAGTTGCATGATGAGAGCATGTGAATTTTTTTTATTATTTTTGAAAATTATGAGAAAAGAAAAATATATATGGATCTTAATTTGCCCCATCAATTAATGAAATAAATTAAACCTCTACCTAAGGGGGCAGAGGGGCATAATCATAATTTTATTCTGATTTCAGTTGTCAAGATATTTTTGGATCAATTTTTTTCGTATTTCAAAACTCATTCTTTTCTATTTCAGTTAAAAGTATATTATTCATGTCAAAATTAAAAAATTTATGAGAAATTATTTCCTCAAATCTCCCTTAAAAAATCAAATCTTACCTAACAAGTAGACATAATTGCAGCTGTTTTCATTAAAGCAAGACAAAAGAACTCATTTGAACTTGCGTCAATAATAGGTATTATAGTGTAGTTCATGTCCTAAATTTTACCATATGAACTTGGCCTAACAATAGCACAACCATGTATATACATGAGATACTATAATTTCTACCAACAAGAGCTTAGTCAATACATCTCTATTTTTACTTTAAGCAAATATAAGTATATCACCATTTATATTTTATTTTATATCTTCGTTTTTACGTATAAATTTCAAATTATTATTTTTTTAACTTGTAGGACACATGTTTAAGGACACATTGTTAGTATTAATTGGCATTAAAAATTAAGAGTTGACTTGTATTTAATCATTTGATTAATTAAAATAAACCATATAATATTTTTTTTGTTATTTTCAATATAAACTAATATCAAAAAGACATATAACTACATACTAATGGCACAAATTGAAAAAATCCTTCAAATTATTATTTATAATTTATGAGAAATCATCTCAAGTCAGTCTAAGCAATCTTGAATCAAGTTTTAGTGATGCCTAAAAGTAGCTTAGCCCTCGTTGCCATAAATCACCTTAGATTTGAGGTGACACCCAGTGTCAAAAATTTATGATTTAATACTTTTACAAACTCAAATTTAATTAAAAAGGCTATAACTAGACCAAAAAGACTGAAATTTACCAATAACCTTTCTTTAGAGTTTATATATAATTTTTTTTATAGCTGTATCATATAATTTTTATAGAGTTTATATATAAAATTCTCTCCTCATGATATCAATGGTATGCAAGTGAATAATAATAAATAAATAAAGTGAAATACCAATTTAACGTAGAAAATCTTTAGGAAAGAAAAATTATGGAGCAAAGACCCTCTCAATCTAAATTTTTGGTCATGATTATAACCAAACCTAGCGGTGCCAACTATACTTGGCATTTTTTTACCCGACCCATTAACTTGTTCATTACATGTTTGTTTAAAATGGGTTAGAGTCAAATATTCATAATCTGTCATTAATTAATGACCTGTTATGAGAATTCAATGGGTCACGAGTTAATAACGGATGAACCTACTAAATTAATAGGTTTGACCTACTTATCTATCTAAAAATTTAAAATTTAAAATTATTTATTTATTTATTTATTTATTTTGTTTTCTAATTCCCAATCACACCTAATCCGATAATAATTGATTAATTCTCCCTAATTGGCTAATTAATTCTCTTAGCTCATCATCTTCTAGAAGCCAAAAAAAATCCAACTCTACTCATGGCTCACCTTTCAACCTTTTCTATTCTTATTTGCTTTAATACTCTCTAAGACTCTAACTCTTCAAAGCATGGTTTTGAAACCCGAACCGATGGTTGAACCAGTTTGATGACTAATTCCCGATTCTAGTGGTCTGATCGGTTCAATCGACCACCCGCCCGGTCAATTGAAAAGCGCCTAAAATTGCAGTTTTAGGTTCTGTAGTTTCCGACATCATTTGGCTGTTGTGTTTTGCAGTTTTTTCCCTTGCAATTTCTAACATTATATAACTATTTTCAGTTTAAATTAAATTTAATAGATATATAAATTCATATAATAATATAAAAAACAAATCCAGAAAAAATATATATATATATGAAAAACAAGTTTTAAAACTAAGTAAATAAATAAAAAAATTATCATACAACTATCAGTCTCAAAATTAACAAATCTTGCACATATATAAATGAAAAATAAGTCCAAAAATTTAAACTAACATGCAAATAATGCATAAATTAAAATTGTTCATTGTTTATCTCCTATTTGAGGAGGATCTTCATTAAACCAAGTATCATGTTCATGAAAATCATTTTCACTATTGTGACTATCATCATTTTCTTTACCAACACTACCAATATGAAATAATCCTTTTTCACCACCTTGCACTTCTTCATCAATATCATATGTGCCACCTTGAGAATTAAAAAGCAAAACTTGTAATAAATAAAAATCAACAAAATAAATCATAATTCAAACCTAACTGACATAATCAACAAGACAATTAAATAATATTAGACAGCAGAATACTATCAAATAATATTAGCAGCTCGGTTAAAACATAATTCAATTTATTGCATGATTTAAAATTTTTTACTATCAAATAATATTAAGAACAGAGGAATACTAAACTCGGTTTTGTTTGTTCTTAAAAAGATATGAGTCAACCAATGTTTCCCAATTTCACAAGTAAATGTTGAAGAAAACTCACAATTTTTCTATACTGTTTCTACAAATTTAGAAATCATAATAATCATGAATACTGATTGCATTGTATGTAGACAAATTTGCTACAGGATTAAAGAGAACTCATAAAATTCTTCACAAAATTATTTAGCAATTGATAAATTGATAACCAAAATCAAGAAAAATATTGAACTGTAATGTAGAAGCACCTTGGCTTCAAAAATCAACTGAGAAAGGTAAGGAGATTTTAGTTGAAATCAATGGTGAAGGCTGGTGGATGAAGGCACGGTGGAGGTGATGCTCTGGCTACCGATCTACTACCCAATTTGGAGAAGCGATGAACTGATGAAGGCTGATCTGATCTGCTGCCCTCTGCTTTCCGATCTGGAGATGCGATGGAGAAGCTGATCTACTGATGGATCTGGAGATGCGAAGGAGAAGCGATCTGTTGCTCGATCTGCTACGGTGCTACCCTGTGGTATCTTCTTTGTCAATATGGCTGGAAAAATGATGGAAAGTTGGAAACTAAAGAATGCAGAACAACAATGGAGAAGCAACGATCAGATCTGGAGAAGTAATGGAGACCGGAGAATGGAGAAAAAATGATCAAATTTTGCTTTTGTGTTGGAAAAAGTGGGAAATCGTGAATGAAAAAAAAAAAAAAGAAAAACAGAAAATGAAGTTGCAGTAGGCTTGAAGCGTCGCGTCATCGTGGAAGAATTCACCTGGTCGGTTCACCGAGTCTATCGGGTTGGATGGGTCAAACGGTTCTTCTGGGTTTGGACGATCCAGTCGACACCCAGGCCCGTTTTGTCCATCGGTTGATGGTTCAACCGATTGAACCAACTAATCCGGTCCAATTCTTAAAACATTGCTTCAAAGTTCAAACTCTTAACATATTTTTTAACCTCTATAATCCATATAGTCTTTGATTTTTAAGTTCCAACTCCACTTTTTTTCTTTAATGTCTAATATCATCTTAGACTCATATCTCAATCTCACTAAGTTACATTGCATCAACTCAACCTTTTCTTTCTTTCTTCTTTAAGTTTGATAAATACTCTCTTTGTCACCAATTTTTCTCTTCAAAGCTTTCAAGGTAAGTTGTTTACTTGTTTATATTTTTTAGTTTTCTTTTCATTCCAAGTAAAAACTTATATGCAAAACCTGTCCTACAACACTTAAAGAACAAAATTAGCAGATATATAGTACGTACCATGATGCCATGCAAAGTTTTAGGGAACAAGTAAAAACGAATCCCAAGTACAGACCAACTGCTAAACCTTAGAGGAGATGCCCTTTTCACTTCCTACGTAATGTTGATGTGTGACGAAAAAAAAAATTCCAACTTTTATATAAATTTCAAAATAAAGGACAGGACAAGAGAGGATGTGCGTGGAGAAAAATCGAACATGTTTCATTGGTTTGCAATATCGCAAGGGATGCCCCATATTTGCTCTTTGCTATTACTATTATCAAGCTAAATCTATTTCATAGTTATCAACAACAAATTGATAACTTTCTACCTCAAACATTACCCTTAAGCTCCAGAGTTCTAATGCCAGTCTGTCACCAATAAGTTGATATATATATATATTGGTTGAAATGGTTTAGATGGTGGTCTGCCTCGCTAGTTCTTGTTAAGAAATCCCATCAAGAATTGCACTAAATTGATTCTCCATTTAATTCTATATATTCATATCTGTGATTTGATTTACTTACTATAATAATTACCTTGTATATAACTAATTTAGTTTCCATCATTGTATAACTAACTTGGCTGTATCTTTGTATACAATTTCTATGAAATCAATACAATGATCATCGCTTTCACAATACTGTACTGTAATAGCCCATTAGTGGTATTAGAGCCCTCTCCCTCAAACAAGTTCAAACCTAGACACCATGGCCAACAAAACCCCTTCAACCGACTTAAGCAAAACTACCACCGCTACTCTTACAGCCATTTGCACTCCAATACCCTTGACTACTGCAACTGGAAATCCAAATATCAGTGTCATTACCTTTAATGTTGCTATTTAATTTCAGGTGAAATTCACCGCTGACACCTACACAAGTTGTAGCAAACAGTTTATCTATTTACTCAAAATCTACAGACTGTATGATTTTTTGCTGGGATAAAGGCAATGTCTTACCAAAGACAACATTCTGGATTTATCTTATGATGTGTGGGTAGGACAAGGTCAGTCTATTCAACATGCAATTATGATTTCAATTACAGAATCCATTCATTATGCAACCAAATTTAAACTACTCTAAATTAATTACTAAAACTCATGGCCAAGGCGGCAACTGGAGTTTGTGCATATGCAAAAAGATAAAAGAAATTTTAAGGAAAATATTAAGAGTACCTGGAAAAAATTGGGCGGCATTTGCTTCGTAATTTTTCTTTATTGAGGATTTTTCAAGTTAAATTGATATTTTACTTTATTTATTATTATTATTCGTTGGCATAATTCTTTAACGAGTGAAATTCCAACTATTATAATCATGAGGAGGAAATTTTATTCCATAGGGTGGTATAAGAGATCGAAGGAGGAATTTCTTAATTCCCAGCAGAGCAGGCATCAACGGTAAGTAATCGGAAAGTCAACAACGTCAGCGCTTCCTCAGAACATTGGAAAATTTCAGGAACAAGAAGCGACGAGAAATGTTTATGCCAATATGGACGAATGATCGGAGGAAGACGAAGGTAGGAAGACGCTCATGGATTTCTTTGAGGCCTGCAAAGTGTTTTTCAGATCAGACAGTGGTCCGCCTCGCTGGTTCTCTCCTTTGGAGTGCGGTTGCAGGGCTCCGGATTCACCCCTGCTTCTCTTTTCGCGAGGTCCATTTTGTCGTCTCTTCTCACTACTTCAAAGAAATATTTTTTTCTCTGTCATTTTAATATATACTTTATACATCCCCCGTCAACCAAAATCATAGCATTCAAACCTCCTTCTGCAAACTGGAATTAATAGTTTCCTTGTGAGCAAATGGATCTAGCTTTGAATTCAACACACATGAAAATGAGTTTGATTTGCATCAATTAGAAACTAAAATAATTAAATTCTCAGGAATTGATGGCACCGGACTTGGGCTTCTAATGCATCACCGGAGATTAGGAAAGTAAGCAAAGATTCTAGCTCATGAATTAATCTAATATTAGGATATTATTTTAATTTTGACTTCACACTTGTTGAGCTAAGTAATTCTGTGCTTACTAATGTTGTTCTTAAATGAAATGAAGGATCTTTGACATTTAGTGCTTGCTTGCATATTCCAGTCAAGGAGGACAGGACATCTTTTACAGGTATCCAATGATAAGTAGTTGTAGACTACCTACATGTACTTTAAGATTTTTTTAATAAAAATTTTGGTTTTTAAATTTTCTTTGTTTCTCACGGGATTCAGGCCTTGAAAGCACAATTAGGTCAGAGTACTCCAGGTCACCAAATAGACCAATATATCTTGTTGGGGAATCCCATGGAGGATGCCTTGCCTTAGCTGTTACATACCGTAACCCAGGTAAGAACTAGAATTGTTGTAATCTTTACAAACAGCATTCCTTGATATCGTAATTATATTTTTGTAATATTAACGAGTGTGCTATTATAATTTCCTTCCTAAAAGGTATAAATGGTGTAACCAAACTGCTCGGCCTTCACTAGATTTATATCTCTCTTTGCGAAAATGCTTTACTTGCCTTTGTACCGAGCCAAAATGGCTGTCATTGTAGATGACATTCAGTTGGTCCCTTGTAATTTTTAGTCCTTTTGATCATATGTAATTCATTATTCATGGTTTCAATATTTGTATTCACAGCTGCATCTTTTGGCAAGCCACAACTGAAACCTCTTCTTCCTTTACTACATAGCATTCCAGATGAATTATTTCTTTTGGTAAACAATTCCATGTTAAACTTTAACCACAGATTTGCTCCCTTGATCTTCAACTTCTGTTTTCTTGGCTGTTATTTGCATCTTAAGAGAAATATGTCTTGAACATTGGCGGCTATGCTGTCTGGATTGTCAATCATTTCTTTAGGTGACCATTTGAGGATGCTGATGGATAATGTAGTGAAGGGCATTCCTCTGGGACATCTGTTGTTGGAAACCTGTCACAGGATATTGTTGCTGCATCATCTAACCTCTCTGTAAATGCAAATCAGCATATATACCTTGTAGGATGTGTTTTAGAGTGCATTATAAATCTTTCTTTAGTTCATATTAAGAAGAAATTCTGATTTTTATTTACATGCTGCAAATTGTGGAAAGATAAATGATGATTTTAAGTCACAGGTTCTGGTTGACATCTTACGCAAAGAATTGCTCGAATGGAAGCTACAAATGCTGAAATCTGCTTCTGCATATTCCAAATCTCGTCTCCATGCCACAAAAGCTGAATTGCTATTACTTTGCAGGTAACTTGATGATTCACTTTTAGTTTTGAAGAACTATTGATCAATATTAAATGGTTTTGTCTAAACTTGAGGTTCTCTTATTTAGTGGCTAATGCAACAAACAGAAAAATGAAGTTAGGAAAACAAAATTATTGCAAGAAGCAGTTAAGTGAAAATGGCAGAATCAAAGATTATAAACCAAGAAAGATTGAAAAATATTTCTTCATAACCTAAATGCATAATGCCTACTTCTCTATGGTTACAATGAGAGAAAAGATGTTTACTGGCAGTTTTTATCATCACAGTCCTAAATATGTGCACTGTCACAAATTATGTTGAAGAGCATCTTGTCATTCAGACGAATGTAATGTAACTTATAATGCCATCTGTGATGTTTACGGGTTTGGGGTACCCCTTGTACTCCGTTTCAATAAATATTACTTTTGCTTTTCAAAAAAAAACTTATAATGCCATCTGTTTAGGGCAGCACTGCAACAAAGTTGACCGTCCAAATTTGAAGTTTATGATCCTCATAATCGACTCTGGTTGAATTAACCATTTGTTTTCCAGTGGAAGATATCAATTGTTTCCAAGTGAGAGGAAGGTGAAAGACTACGCCATGCACTCCCAAATTGTGAGATTCGTAAGTTTGATGAAAGCCACCATTTTCTCTTCCTGGTATACCTCACTCAAACTGTAGGTCTTGAGAGGAGGAGGGTGTTCACTTTTAGAATTTGAAGTTTCACTTATTTCCCTTTTATGTCCTAATTTTTACTCTAGTTGTCATCTTATATTATCAGGTTTTGTGATGTTATAAAATAGTTGTTTTGGCCTCTTATGCAGGAAGGTGGTACTGATTTGGTGACAATCATCAAGGGAACTAGCTTCTATCATCGTGGAAAATACCATGACTGTGTGTCAGATTACATGCCACCTACGCCTGCTGAATTCAAGAAGTTACATGAATCAAATAGGTAAGCATCTTTGGACAAAGCACAATCGTGTACCAAAAGGCTAGAGATATACCAATTGTATTCTGTCATGAGTAGGGTGCAGAATAACAAGAGCTTATTGTTGTGTCAATAAGAAGAACATATTAGGTCAGAGATTAATTAGTGGAATATTGATGACAGCCAAACCTGACACCTATTGTGCTCATCATAGACATTTTATATATGTTTAGTTGAATTGCAGTGCTATCACATATTAATCTTGATTCTGGATTGCTCAACTGACTTTGTTCCTAGCTAGATGATATTGCTCTTAGCCCTGTGATGCTCTCAACTACCAAGGATGGGAAGGTGGTGAAGGGTCTTGCTGGGATTCCATCCGAGGGACCAGTCCTGTACGTTGGTTATCACATGTTAATGGGACTAGAAGTTATTCCCTTGGTATCTGAATTTCTTACACACAAAAATATCCTCTTGCGAGGGATAGCACAGCCAAGGTCATATAGTAAAATTAAGGACATGAGCTGCACTATAATACCTATTATTCTCATAACACAAGTTCAAAAGTGTTCATTTATCATATTTTAAGGAAAAAAATTACAATTATGCCTATTTGTTAAGTAAGGTTTGATTTTTTAAAGAGACTAATGAAGAGATAATTTTTTATGAATTTTTTAGTTTTAACATAAATAACTAACCTTTAATTAGATAAAAAAAAAAAAAAAGTTAATCTCAAAGTGTGTAAAAACTGAGTTGAGGACATCTTGACCACTAAAACCATCGAAAAAAGAAAGAAAAAAGAAAGCCATGACTCTGCCCCTCTACCGGTAAAGGATTAATTTACTTATTTCATCAGTTAATGGGGCAAATTAAGGTCCATATATATTTTTCTTTTCTTATGTTTTTCGAAAATAATTGTCAATTATTTAAATTATTCAGTAATAATCTTCTTCCATTGAAAATAAAAAATTTTGAATTCAAATAACATGATATGTGTGTAGTATGAAATAATTCATTATGCAACTATGATAACAAAAATAAAAAAAAAAAACAATATTCACATACTCTCAGCCTACAACTCAAAAACCGATTTGACTAATAAAACTGTCAAAAACTACTCATGATTTTTTATTTTAATTATTTCATTCCTTCAACAAAAAAAGAAAAAAGAAAAATGGAAATCAAGAGAGAAGTTGGAATCTACAGGTTTGAAATACAACAGATCGAGAAAGAAGAAAATATATAATTAAGATCGATCGAATCTATATATCATACAATGCTACTTAATAACTACTTTCATATATAAGAACAAAGCTAAGGGAACTAACGTTCATCATCATCATCACCTTGCGCTTTAATTTTAGTAAGATGAGGAAAACAGAAAAAAAAAAGGTTGAAACCCCAAAAAACATACGGAAACGAACACCAAACAAGAGATTCAAGAATCCCATTAGCCCTAACCACTTTCATTCTCATCAAAACCCATTAACTTATTCCACTTCCTTTCAAAAACAAAAAAGAAAGAAATTAAGAGAAAGAGAAACGCGTTGCTTCACAGGCGGCGGGCGAGGTCAACATCGGCAGAAGAATCATCCACATCCGTGGTAGGGGAGAGAGCGTCGGGAGTAGTAGTGGAAATGGCCGGAGAGTGGGGAAATGGTGTCGATGAGGTGTGTTGTTGATGTTGATCAGCGGGGAACAGAGCAAGTGGATGGTATTGCTGCTGGTGGGTGGCCGAAGAGGTTCGCTGAGCTGCACGCTCGTGTTTGTGAGCGTTCTGGTGCCCGCCGAGCGCTTGAGCGGAGTCAAAGAGCCTGGAGCAGTGGGGACAAGGAAATAGCGGAGATGAGATTATGCGCGGCTGGATGTGTTCCGGCCACACGTTAAAAAGCACAGCTGCTTGGTATTGCTGCTGATGAGTGGCCGGAAAGGTTCGCTGATCTGCTCGCTCGTGTTTGTGAGCATTCTGATGCCCGCCGACCGCTTGAGGGGAGCCAAACAGCCGGGAGCAGTGGGGACAAGGAAATCGCGAAGATGAGGTGATGGATGGAGCTCCTGCACGCCTGGCGGGTTTTGCACGAGAAGGCAGGTTGTTCCTTGAGAGGTCTGCCATGTTGGAAAGTTGCAGATAGGCGAGGAGGAGGAAAGGCGGGATGGGTTATTTATAGTTGAGGCAATTCGATCCATTTCCTTGAAGTCAAAATGATAAACAGTAAAAATTAAATCAGATATTTTTTTAGTTTAAAGACTAAATCAAAGATCCATACGATAGTTGAGATACCAAAATGAGGTTTTAACCTAATATTTAAGTGTTGTGTAGCAAAGGGCAGCGGTCTAGGGGTCTGCGCCTAGCTATCAGCCTCCTCTATGGAGCCAATTTTCTTTTCGATTAATTAGTGCTTGAGCAGATTCACTAAAATTTTTTTGTTACATCTTAATGCAGAAAT